CCTGCTGAATAGTGATTGAGGCTGGCTATGGAGAAGGCAGAACATATGAGAAATGATCCATGGGTCTGATAGATGTACCGGGGCTATACCCGAGAGTCTTAGAATTGAGCATAGCCACATCTGCATTGAACCTGAGCTCAAGAATGAAGGCCTGGCATGAATAGCATGTAAGTGGGCACTTAATCAGTCTGCTCCGTAGTGGCATAACCCCGCCTTGTTCAGTGATTGTCACCTGGATCAAGAATTGACAAAAAATATTGACAGAGTTGGAACAAATAAATGGTGTGTCTAGTGGACATATATTTTAAAATTAGATTGCAGTAGAAATATAAAAGAATGTTTTGTTTTTATAAAGGTTGGGGATCCCTGCAGCGGTAACATGTTATAAAATGTAGGTTTTTATATTATTTAGTTTGTGAATATTCATTACTGTTTTTCACATGTTTTTGCTTTTATTCATACTGGTATTTTTCCCAGCCTCAGGTGGACTTTCCTGACTTCCCCATACAGGGTCAGGTTTCTCACGTACCCTCAGAACATTGATCAAAGTTGTAATTTTACATTTACATGTAATTTTACCTTGTGTTGACCTTTCTGATTATATTATAAACTCTGCTGGGGCAGGACCATGTTTTTGTCCATTGTTAAATCTCCAGAGCCTTCACTCCATGATTTATAAATAGAGGGTGCTCTGTGAACATTTGTTTGATTCATTAATCAGTTACAGTGACCTTTTTTGATTCATTAATTGGGTACCATTCTGATACCTGTGATCTGATATGAAAGATTTATGTTGTACATGTGAATCCGGACTGAAACATTAATATTATTGCTGGCATCCTTAGGGCACTAGCCTGACCTTGATTGACCTCCCTGGCCATGAGAGCTTGAGACTTCAGTTCTTAGAGCAGTTTAAGGCTTCAGCCAGGTAAGTAGGAAGTGGGAAGGGCTTGTCTGAAATCTGTATATCAAGACCAGCCATGTTGTTTGCTCTCACGGTATTCTGGAGGCATCCTGGTATCCTGGAGTGGAAAGAGCATGGACCCTGGGGTCAGCATTTCTGGGTTGCAAGTCCACCTTCACTTGGATTATATGAGATAATATTTGAAAATATTTCTCAGAGTGTTCAGAAAGTGTTTACCCTTATTATGATGTCAGTAAATTTTTCATTTACTCTGAGGACAAATTTAATAATGTGTAGAACTATTAAAATCTGAAAAAAGAATTTTAAAGCTAGGTGGCATCTGAGAAGATATTAAAATCCAACAGTATGTATTCTATCCTTAAATTATCTAAAATTGATGCCTGAAAAGTACAGAAGAATATTTTCATATTTCTTTTAGTATTGTCCTAGTATTACTGACTCTTACTTCCTAAATTTCCTGTGCTTCAGCTTAAGATGCTTTATTCTTGTGTAGTCTCTAACACCGGTAGGAACTTGAGGAAAATCAAAATACCACATTTCATTTATTTTAAGACACATTTTAACATCTATGAAATTGGAATGCCACTTATAATTAATGGTGTTATAGTTTAATTGGAAGTATTTTCTTTCTTAGTTGAACCTGAAATAATATGTGTTTTAGTTGATGGAATCTGGGTTGATGGAACGAGGTAGTTGTTTCTTTCCTTATTTTTGAAGGTATCTTGTTTTGTATTTTGTTGTTGCTTCTTGGCCCACATGGTGGTGGTGATGAGCAATCTGTCATAGTTGAGACTGTTACTTGATTTAAAAAAAAAAAAAAAAAAGGGCTTCCCTGGTGGTGCAGTGGTTGAGAGTCTGCCTGCCGATGCAGGGGACATAGGTTCGTGCCCCGGTCCGGGAAGATCCCACGTGCCGCGGAGCGGCGGGGCCCATAAGCCATGGCCACTGAGCCTGCGCGTCCAGAGCCTGTGCTCCACAACGGGAGAGGCCCGCGTACTGCAAAAAAAAAAAAAAAAAAAGTATTTTTAGAGAGTTTTAGGTTCACAGCAAAATTGAACAGAAGGTACAGAGATTTCCCATATAACCCTACCCCTACACATGTCTAACCTCCCCTATTATCAGCATCCTTCACCCCAGTGGTTCATTTGTTGCAATTGATGTACCTAAATTGACACATCATAATCGCTCAGTCTGTATGTTACATTAAGATTCACTCTTGGTGTTGTACATTCTAGGAATCTGAAGAAATGTACAATGATATGTATTCACCATTATAGTATCTTACAGAGTAGTTTCACTGCCCTAAAAATTCTCTGCGCTGCCAGTTCATCCTTCTCTCCCCTAACCCCTCACAACCACTCATCTTTTTATTGTCTCCATAGTTTTGCCTTTTTCACAATTTCATATAGTTGGAAACATACAGTATGTAGCCTTTTCATGTTGGCTTCTTTCACTTAGTAATATGCATTTAAGTTTCTTCCATGTGTTTTCATTGTTTGATAGCTTATTTCTTTGTAGTGCTGAATAATATGCTATTGTCTAGATGTACCACAGTTTATTTATCCATTTACCTGTTGAAGGACATCTCGGTTGCCTCCAAATTTTGGCAGGTCTGAATTAAGCTGGTATTGGTGTACACATAAGTTTTGGGGTAAATATCAAGGGGCACAATAGCAGAATCATATAGTAAGAGTATGTTTAGTTTTGTGAGAAATTGCCAAACTCTCTTCCAAAGTGGCTGTACCATTTTGCATTCCCACCAGCGATGAAAGAGTTCCAGTCGCTCTGCATCCTGACCAGCATTTAGTGTTGTCAGTGTTCTGGGTTTTGCCATTCTAATGAGTATGTAGTGGTATCTAATTGTTGTTTTAATTTGCATTTCCCTGATGACATATGATGTGGAGCATCTTTTTATATTTGCTATTTATAAGTTATTTAAATCTTGTTTGGTGAGGTGTCTGTAAAGATCTTTGACCCATTTTTTAATTAGATTGTTTTCTTACTGTTGAGTTTCAAGAGTTCTTTTATATATTTTGGGTAATGGTCCTTATCAGATATATCTTTTTAGATATTTTCTCCCAGTCTGTGGCTTGTTTTCTCATTCTCTTGATGTTGATTTTTGTAGAGCAGAAATTTTTATCTTTACTGAAGTCCAGTTTACCATGGATTGTATTGTATATAAAAAGTCATTGTCAAACCCAAGATCATCTAGGTTTTCTCCAGTGTTATCTCCTAGGAGTTTTGTAGTTTTGGTTTACATTTAGGTGTGTGATCCATTTTAAGTTAATTTTTGTGAAAGGTGTAAGTTCTGTATCTAGATTCATTGTTTTGCATGTGGATGTCTAGCTGTTCCAGCACTATTTGTTGAAAAGACTATCTTTGCTTCATTTGTTGCCTTTGCTCCTCCATCAAAGATCACTTGACTATATATGAGGGTCTCTTTCCGGACTCTGTTCTATTGATCTGTTCTCTCACCAATACCATGCTGTCATTGTTACTGTAGTTTCATAGTAAGTTGGTAACATCAGTTCTCCAACTTTATTCTTCTTCAGTATCGTGTTGACTCTTCTGGGTCTTCTGCCTCTCTGTATAAACTTCAGAATCAGTTTGTCGGTATCCACAAATAAGTTGCCAAGATTTTGATTGGGATTGCATTGAGTCTATAAATCAAGTTGGGAAGAACTGACATCTTGACTCTATTTAGTCTTCCTATCCATGAACGTGGAATATCTCTCCATTTTTCTAGTTCTACTTCAGTTTTGTTGATCAGTTTCATAGTTTTCCTCATATAGATCTCGTATGATTTGTACCTAAGTTTCATATTGTGGGATGCTAATGTAACTGGTATTGCGTTTTTAATATCAAATTCCATTTGGTCATTCCTGATATTTGGGTAAGCAATTCACTTGTGTATCAACCTTGTATCCTGCAACTCTGCTATAATCGCTTATTAGTTCCTGAGCTTTTTGGTTGATTTTTTCAGATCATCTACAGTCATTTCATGTGTAAATACAGACATTTTTATTTCTTCCTTCCTAATCTGTATACCTTTTATTTCCTTTTGTTGTCCTAATGCATTAGCTTGAAATTACAGTACGATGTTGCAAAAGCAGTGGTGAGATGGGACATCCTTGCTGTGTTCCTGGTCTTAGCAGGAAATCTTTGATTTTTTTCACCATTAAGTATGATGTTAGCCATTTGATTTTTGTAGATATTCTTTATCAAGTTGAGGAAATTCCCCTCTATTCTTAGTTTACTAGGAGGTTTTATCATGAATGGTTTTTGATTTTGTCAAATGCGTTTTTGGATCTGTTGATACGATTGTGTGATTTTTCTTTTTTAGTTTATACATCAGTGAACTGATTATGTTAATTGATGATTGAATGTTGAACCAGCCTTTCATACCACTTGGTTGTTGTGATATTGTGATTTATAATGAGAAATGCATATTTGGTCTTCATCCCTGTTTCTGGCACAGAGCTCATAAAACCCTTAGAATTTCCTAAGCGATGAGAGTGATAAAGGTGTCTTTTGTTATGTTTTTGCGGTGAGTTTTAGAAAGCACCTAAGGATGGGGACTGGGTGCCAGAAGAACCAACCATATGATTAGAGAGTTGGAACTTTTCATTCCCATCCAGGGAAGGGAGAGGAGAGAGGCTGGAGGTTGAATCAATCACCAGTGGTCAATTGTTCAGTCAATCACGCCTATATAATTATGCCTCCATAAAACCCCAAAAGGATGAGGTTCATAGGGCTTCTAGGTTGGGGAACCAGAATGCTTCCACATGCCACCCTGCAGGGCCCAAACTCCGTGGGGACAGAAGCTCCTTTGTTCAGGATCTCACCATATGTATCCCTTCATCTGGTTGTTGATTCATATCCTTTAATATCTTTTGCAATAAACTGATAATTTAGTGAGTTAAATGAGTTTCCTGAGTTGAGCTGCTCTCACAAATTAATTGAATCCAAGAAGCAGGGGTCATGGGAACCTCTGATTTATAGCCAGTCAGTCAGAAGTACAGTTAACAACCTGGACTTCTGACTGGTGTCTGAGGTCCCCACTACCAAATTAATCAAACCAAAGGAAGGAGTTGTGAGACCTTCGAGTCTGTAGCCTGTTGGTCAGAAGCAAAGGTAACAATCTGGGCTTGTGATTGGCATCTGAAGTGGAGGGCAGTCTTGTGGCACTGAGCCCTTAACCTGCGAAATCTGATGCTATCTCCAAGTAGATAGCATCAGAATTGAGTTGAATTGTAGGGCACCCAGCTGGTGTCAGGAGCATTGCTTGGTGGTGGGGGAACCCCCATCCCCCACATTGGAACTGGGTCCAGAGCCAATCATGGTGTATAATTCTTCTCATACATTGTTGGATTCGATTTGCCAATTTTTCTTGAGGATTTTTACATCTGTGTTCATGAGATATTTATCTGTAGTTTTCTTGTAATGTCTTGGTTTGTGTTTTAAAGTAATGCTGGCCTCATAGAATGAGTAAGAAAATATTCCCTCTGTTTCTATTTTTTGAAAGAAATTATAGAGAACTTGTATATTTTTTTCCTTAAATTTTTTTAAATTGAATATTTGTGGCATATAACATTGTATAAATGTCCTTAAACATTTGATAGAATTCACCAGTGATCCCACCTGTGCCTAGTGCTCTCTGTTTTGGAAGGTTTTTAATTATTGATTCAGTTTCTTTAATAGATACAGGGCTATTCAGATTGTCTGTTTCTTATGTTAGTTTTGGCAGATTGCGTCTTTCAAGGAGTTGGACCATTTATTTCATCTAGGTTATTACATTTTTGGGCATAGAGTTATTTATAGTACCCCTTGATTGTCCTTTTAATGTCCATGAATCTGTAGTGATATCCCCTTTCATTTCTGATATTTGTAATTTGTGTCCTCTCTTTTTCTTAGTTAGACTGGCTAGAAGTTTATAAATTTTATTGATCTTTTCATAGAACCAGTTTTTGGTTTTGTTGATGTTCTCCATTGATTTCCTATTTTCTATTTCATTGATTTCTGCTCTTTTATTATTTCTTATGTTTACTTTAGATTTAAATTACTCTGATTTTTCTAGCTTCCTACGGTGGAAGCTTAGAAGATTGATTTTAGGTCTTTCTTCTTTTCTAATAAATGCATTCAATGCTGTAAACTTCACACGGTATAGAATTCTAGGTTTGGGGGATTCTTCTTTCAACAGCTTAAATATTTCACTTGACTCTCTTCTTGCGTGCTCTATGTCTGAGAAGTTGGATATAATTCTTACATTGCTCCTCTATAAGTAAGGTCTTTTTCCTTCTGGCTTATTGTGGGATTTTTTTCTTTATCTTTGATTTTCTATAGTTTACAAATGATAATGGCTAGGTATAGTTCTTTTAGCATTAATCCTGCTTGGTGTTTTCTGAGCTTCCTGTGGTTTCTGTGGATCTGTGGTTTGGTGTCTGACATTAATTTGGGGAAATTTTCAGTCATTATTGTTTAAATATTTCTTCTGTTCTTTTCTCTCTTTCCTCTCCTTCTGAAATTCCCATTACATATATGTTACACCTTTTGTAGTTGTCCCACAGTTCTCAGATATTCTGTTATGTATTTTTAAGTCTTTGTTCTCTTTGCTTTTCAGTTTTGGAGGCTTCTATTGAGATATCTCAAGCCAGAGATTCTTTCCTTCAGTCATGTCTAGTCTACTAATAATTCCATCAAGGGCTTTCTCCATTTCTGTTAGGTTATTTTTGATCTGTAGCTTTCTTTTTAGTTATTTCTTAGAACTTCCATCTCTCTCCTTACATTGCCCATCTGTTTTTGCATGTTGTCTACTTTATCTTTTAGAGCCCTTAGCACCACAGTCACAGTTGTTTTAAATTCTTGGTCTGATCATTCCAACATCTCTTTCATATCTGAGTCTAGTTCTGTTGCTTGCCCCTTCTCTTCAAACTCTTTTTTACTTTTTAGTATGTCTTGTAATTTTTTCTTGATAGGCAGACGCAATATACTGGGTAAGAACTGCCCTTAGTAACGTGGTGAAGTGTGAGGGGAAGAGAAGTGTCCTATGATTAGGTCTGTCTTAGTGAACCTGTGTCTCTGGACTGTGAGCTTCATACTTGATTCTCAACTGATTCCTCAGTAAGTTGTATTTTTCTGTATATATGTGTTGTTCTCTCCAGTTTGGCAGGGGGAGTGATTTGCTGTATAATCTCACTTCTCTGATGAATCTAAGTGCTGTTGATTTTTTAGTCTGGTTAGCTTTTTACTTGTTAGAATGCAGTGGTGACTTCCAGCTTCTTTCATGCTGTACTGGAAACTGGGAGTTGTGTGATTTTTTTTTTTTTATTCCTCAAACAATTGATACAGATCTAGAACTGGCAAATTTTGCTATAATTGGGTTTTAATTTCTAATTAAATTTTTTTTCCATTTTCAATTATAAATTTTTTACAGTTCACAGTGTAATTACTCTTTGATCCAAGTATTTTGGGTAGCTAAAACGTTCAAAGTATGTAAGATACAAATGAACTCAAATCATAATCACAATAAATGCAAATTCAAAAGACATTTACTACAGTGGACCCTTGAACAGCATGGGTTTGAACTGTGTGGGTCCGCTTATAGGATGAATTTTTTCATTTAATATGTACTGCACAATCTGTGGTTGGTTGAATCCGGCAATGCCAAACCTCAGATACAGAGGGCTGACCATGAAGTTATACGCAGATTTTTGACTGGAGGGTCAGGCCTCTAATCCCCACATTGTTCAAGGGTCAACTTATAATATATTGATCTGAGGCTTCTAGTTTTTTAATCCTACCTTTTTTGGTTAATCAAGTTTCCCTAATCTCATTTTTCCCTCTCTGCTGGTTTGAAAGTATGCTATTTTTTCTTTTTTCGTTGTTACCCTCTACTCTTTTTTTTTTTTAAACTTTGATTGCTTAACAAAAGTTTAAAATCAATAATACTGGTTTTCTTTCACTGGAACTTAAAATACCTTACTTTGATCTTCCTCACATCTTCCTTTCATTTTATTTCTCTTTCTTCTTTTTTAACACCCAACAGTTACTAATATTTTTCTCCATCATTCAGTGACCACCTAGAATACCAGGATTTTATGGATTTCTTTTTTGTCTATCGCTTCTTGCCTCTTACTCTTTCCTTTTGATTCAATTTTCTTTCATGTATATCTTTTGGATATGTTTCCAGAAATGGTGAATAAGAAATAAAAGTTTCTCATCTTTTGTTCATTTGAAACTTTTTTCACTGGCCTTCATTTTTGAATAACTATTTTAGCCGAGTATAAAATCCTGGGTGGCAGTTATTTCTGTTTTCACGTTGAAGGCATTACTCCTGACTTCAGATATCTGTTGTTGTAGATGAGAAAGCAGTGCTCAATCTAATTGTCATTTCATGATACAGAATCTATGTTTTTTTAATCCTGTATTCAGGGGTAGATTATCCTTCTGTTTAGGGGTGATTTAGCTTTATCATGGTTGGGATTCAAGTGTGCTTTTCAGTTGAAAGATTTGTATCTTCAGTTCTGGGAAATTTTCAACAATATCTTTTTAGGTAGTTCTATTTCCAAATTCTCACTTTCACCTCCTGGAACTCTTATTAACATCATTGAACCTTATCATTTCTGCTCTTGTCTCTTCTCTGTCATATCTTCCAAGTCTTTTTACTTTGTGTATAGTTGATATTTTCGTCTTTATTTTGTAGTTTATTATATGCTTTTCAACTGTAGTATTCTCTGCTTAACTTTTCCATTGGGTTGTTACTAATTTTGTTCTTTACTTGTAAAAACATATCTTTTAAAATCAGCCTTTGTTTTTAGTACTGTCTTTATTCTTTTATTATGGTGTCTAGTATTCTTTTAAATAATTTAAAATATTTTACTGATTGCTTTATTATTTTTAGTTTTGAGTGCTGATTAATCTGTCTTTGTGGTTCTCCCTCATAATGGTTTATTTACTGTGCTTTGTAATTTTGATCGATACACTGTTCAAGGGGGTTAGATTTTGCTGTTGATGTTGTGGTTGCTGTTTTGTTTTGTGTTTTTAAATTGCTTTAGGTTATGAAAGCCTCTCTCCAGAAGGGATTCATATTTCCTTCTGTTGGGGGCCATAGGAGTTCCTTGAGTCTGGCCCAATTTTTATATATCTTCCTGCTTGGGGATCTTACACCATGAGATAGTGTAAGTTCATACCCTGTTTCTGTGTGTGGCACAGGAGGCCTGGTGATTCAATTCTTCTTGGATTATTTTCCCACACTGCTTAGACTGCTTTTAAGTACTAGGCTTTGCACAGAGTGTTCAGTTCCAGCTTTCCAACTCCATGTTGGCTGTTGCACATCTCCTGGGCTTTCAAACCCTTGTTCCTAAAGCCTATTATCTGCTGTTTTCCTGGACTGCTTTGCTTTAGCTTTGATATCTCTTTATTTCTGGCACATGAGGATTCTCACTGTGGCTGCCTTAGGTTGGGCCCTACCTGGTCACTCTGCTTCTAGTTTGATTATCCTCTTAGTTGTATCTGTCTTTCATTTAGGCACTAATATTCTTTGTAAGACAGAAAAGCATAAACTCTTTAGGTCAGTGTGTCACACCCCTTTGCCGTCTGACCTGGTTTTTCTTCATTTCCCCACCTACCTGTTTATTAGCTTACCTTGAGTTCTCCAAGGCATGTTGTTCCACCACTTTGTGCCCTGCACATACTACTTTCCAGACAGTCTTTGCCACAGTAGTATTTTGTCTGGCTAAAATTCACTCAACTATTACATCCTCCTTTAAGTCTTCCTGACCTGGTTTCATGTAAATTATCTTCCTCTTTGTTTCTATTATAGCAGGTACAAGGTCTGTCCTAGTGTTTTATCACATGGTTTTGTATATGACAATTTCCTGGACTTGAGGGGAGGCATCATTTTCTATTGTCTTTTTAGATACAGTCATTGATACATAGTAGCACTAAGTAGTCCTTTGTTAAGTATTTGTGTTGTATCATTACTTGTGCAGACACCTGTATGTGAGTTTGTTTTGTTTTATTCATTAGGATTGAATTGGGCAAAATTAAGGATATCATTTTTCAATATAATGCTGCACTATTGCATGCTCACATGGCAGTTTTTCTTTTTCCCCCCCCCCCAGGGCTATTGTGTTTGTTGTGGATAGTGCAGCCTTCCAGCGAGAGGTGAAAGATGTGGCAGAGTTTCTGTATCAAGTCCTCCTTGACAGTATTGGTCTGAAGAACACACCGTCATTCTTAATCGCTTGCAATAAGCAAGGTACTATCATGTTTTCTGGCAATAATAGTTGAGATTTTTCTGGGATTGCTACTAAGAATTAATACAGTTATCTACAATTGTTATTACTGAGGATGAGAGACAATTGCTAATGAACTATAAATTAAGGATTTTAAATCTTAAAATTTATTTATACTCCAGCATTTTCATTAGTCTCCCTTACCAGGCTGTTCTAAGGAGCGACAAAGGAGTGATTATTATCATTTATTCTTTGATACAGTGTTTTATTTTTAATCGTAAATCATTTTAATTTACCAAGTTAAGTTCATCAGATTGACAATATGTCATATCAGATACACAGTTGAGGAAGGACAGGATGGAGTCTCTCCTTTGAAACAAGTTTGCCATCTAGCACATTTCATCAAGGAGAGTTTGCAGAAGTGTTTTCCTTTAACCTCGTAAGAATGAAAAACATTTTAGTCTCAGCCAGTAAAACTAGGCTCCAGTTTTATTACCTTAAAATCAGATTAGGAGTGATGTCAGCATCATAAGGTGTGAGACACCTTCTTTGTCTCTCCCCTTCATTCTACAACTAGTAAAACATCCAAAACTCAACAAAGGTTCCTCTGCCCAACACACTGGGATGCTGGAGAGATCCACAAGTCTACTTCTGAAGGTGAGTGGACTGGAACACATAGAGGAGGTAGAACTGGGGGAACAGTGGAAGAATGTCTGCAATCTTAGCCTCTGGCCACAGTGGCTGAGCCTGAAGCCCCAGAGAACCCTGTAGCAACAGGGAAGACAGCACACATGGCTCCAGCCTCCTGGCTGCAGTAGCTCCTTTGGCCACAGGGAACCCCGCAGCAGCTGCGGTGGTGGGGCCTGTGACCCCAATCCCCTGGCTCACGGCAGTGCTGCACGCAAACCCAACAACCCCAGATGTGGCGAAGGTGACCATGCCTCTGTCTCCTTCACTTTTCCCCACACCCCCCTCCAGCAGCAGAGCTCAAGCAGTGACAGTGAGGTTACCAGTGACACATCTGGCAGAGGTAGTAGAGGGTGGAAAATGTCAATTCTCAAATATAGTCAGAGGCAGCTCAGGTAAGAAAAGCCAGAAACCTGTGCTATAGCAAGAAAAAAGAAAGACCTCTATTTTCCAACTTGTTGAACTGTAAGAATCAAGGAGAAAAAAAAAGCTTTACCTACATAAGAAAGGTATTTGCTACTTCAAATGCACTGGCAGAGGAACAGTTTGTCAAGTACCATGTAAAACCACAGTACACAGTGTAACGAAAAGAAAATGACAGTTCTCCAGCAGCCAAACTTAAGTCATGGAAGATTGTAATCTAACTGATAGAAAATTCAAAATAGCTGTTATGAAGAAACTAAACAAGCTACAAGAGAACTCAGGAGGGCAGTTCAGTGAGCTCAGGAATAAAATTAATGAACAAAAGAAATACTTTACCAAAGATATTAAAAGTCTAAAGAGAACCAAACAGAAGTTCTGGAGCTGAAGATGTCGGTAAATGAGATGAAGAATGCATTAGAGAGCACTGGAAATAGAGCAGACCATATGGAAGAGAGAATTAGTGAGCTTGAAGATAGAGATCTAGAAATGATTCAAGTAGGAGTGGCGAGAGAACTAAGATCTTTTTAAAAATTAAATTTTATGAGAACTATCCAACTTCATTATAATCTTCATAAAGATAATGGTTATCCCAGAGGAAGAAGAGAGGGAGAAGGGAGCAGAGAGTTTATTTAAAGAAATAATAGCTGAGAATTTCACAAACCCAGGGAAGGAACTGGATATACAAGTCCACAAAGCTAAGAGGACATTTAATTATCTCAACGCTAAAAGACGTTCTCCAGGACACATTATGTTAAAATTGTCCAAATCCAATGATAAAGAATTTTAAAGGCATCCAGAGGAAAAAAGACAGTAGTCTACAAAGGAACTCCTATTAAGCTATCAGCAGATTTCTCAGCAGAAACTGTATAGGCCAGGAGAGGATGGGACAGCCTACTCAAAATATTATAAGACAAAACTTCTGCCAAGAATCCTTCCAGCAAACTTATCCTTGAGATACAAAGGAGAAATAAAGACTTTCCCAGACAAAAGCTCAGGGAGTTCATTACCAGTAGACCTGCCTTACAAGAAATGTTGGAAGGAGCTCTCCTACCTGAAACAAAGAGGCAAAAGTACACAAAACTTTGAGTAAGGTGATAAATAGATAGAATCAGAAAATTGCAACTTTACATCAGAATAGGTTGTTAAACAATTATAAAGATTAAAGGGGAAAAAGCAGTAAAAATACTTATAGCTACTGCAGTTCGGTAATGAGCTCACAATATAAAAAGGGATAATTTGAGATGACAAAAATGTAAAAGGGGAAGAGGAAAAGAATAGAACCCATATAATGGCAACTGAAGATAAGATCCTATCAGCAGAAAAAGGACTATTTTATCTATGAGATGTCTTATACAAACCCGATGGTAACCACAAAATGTAAGTCTAGAGCAGAGACATGAAACTAGGAGGAAACTAGTAAACTACCAACTAAGATGTCAGGCAGAAACAATGGAGAAAACAAAAGATAAAATGGCAGTACTAGTCCTCAATTATCAATAATCACTCTAAATATAAGTGGATTGAATTCACCAATCAAAAGACACAGAGTGGCTGGATGTTTTAAAAAACAAGACCAACTATGTCCTGCCCCCTGGAGACTCATCTCAGCTCTAAAGACAAACATAGCCTCAAAGTGAAGGGATGGAAAATGATACTCCAAGCAGATGGCAGCCAAAAGAAAGCAGGTGCAGCCATCTCAGATCAGATCAAATAGACTTCAAGCCAAACAAGAGAACAAGATGGACTTATATAATGATAAAGGGGACAATCCATCAAGAAGATGTAACATTTATGAATATATAAGCATCTAACATAGGAGCACTAAAACATGAAAGGAATTATTAACAGACCTAAATGAAGAAATTGACAGCAGTAATAGTAGGGGAATTTAACATCCCACTTACATCAATGAACTGATTATCTAGACAGAATGTTAACAAGGAACCATTGGCCTTAAGTGAAGCATTACATCAGGTGGAATACACACACACACACACACACACACACACACACACACACACACACACACAGATATACATACATATATACATGTATATAAATAAAACATTCCATCCCAAAGAAGCAGAATACACATTCTTCTCAAGTGCACATGGAACATTCTCAAGGATAGACCATATGCTGGGACACAAAACAAGTTTCAATAAATTTAAGGTTGAAATCATATCAAGCATCTTTTCCTACCACAGAGATTTGAAACTAGAAATCAACTACAAGAAGAAAGCTGAAAAAAATCACAAATATGTGGAGACTAAACAACATGCTACTGAACAACTATTAGGTCAATGAGGAGGAAAGGAGGAAATAAAAATCCCTGAAGATAAATGAAAATATGGCATACCAGATCAATAGGATGCATCAAAAGCAGTACAAGTTTATAGCAATACTTGCCTACCTCAAGAAACAAGGAGAATCTCCAACAGTCCTTACACCTAAAGGAACTAGAAAAAGAACAAACAAAGCCCAAAGTCAGTAAAGGAAGGAAATACTAAAAGCCAGCAGAAATAAATGAAATAGTAGAGACTAAAACGGTAGTAGAAAAGATCAATGAAACTAAGAACTTGTTCTTTGAAAAGATAAACAAAATTGACAAACCTTTAGCTAGACTAAGAAAAACAGGAGGCTCATATAAATAAAATCAGAAATGAAAGAGGAGAAATTACAACAGATCCCACAGAAATACAAAGGGTTATAAGAGAATACTGTGAATAACTACACCAACAAATTGGACAGCCTAGAAGAAATAAATACATTCTTAACAAACAACCTTCCAAGACTGAATCTTGAAGAAATAGAAAATCTGAATAGACTGATAACTAGGAAGGAGATTAAAACAGTAATCAAAAGCCTTCCAAAAAAAACAAAAGTCCAGGACCAGACAGCTTCACTGGTAAATTCTACCAAATGTTCAAAGAAGATTTAATACCCGTTCTTCTTAAACTCTTCCAAAAAAGTTGAAGAGGAGGGCACACTTCCTAACTCATTTTATGAGGTCAACATTACCCTGATATCAAAGCCAGACAAGGATAACACAAAAAAAGAAAATTACAAGCCAGTATCTCTGATAAACATAGATGCAGAAATCTTCAACAAAATTTAGCAAACCAAATAGAACAATACATTAAAAGGATCATGCACTGTGATCAAGGGGGATTTGTTTCAGGGTTGCAAGGATGATTCAACATCTGCAAGTCAACATGATAAAACATTTTAAAAGTCATGATCATCTCAATAAATGAAGAAAAAGCATTTGACAGAGTTCAACATCCACTTATGATAAAGACAATAAAATGGGTATAGAAAGAATGTACCTCTACATACATGTCAAACTCACAGCTGACATCATACTCAACTGTGAAAAACTGAAAGTTATCCCTCTAAGATCAGGAATAAGACAAGGATGCCCACTCTTGCCACTCTCATTCAACATAGCTAAAGACTCCACCAAAAACCTATTAGAAATAATAAATGAATACAGTAAAGTTGCAGGGTGCAAAATCAATATACAATAATCTGTTGTGTTTCTGTACACCAACAACAAACAAGCAGAAAGAGAAATTAAGAAAACAGTCCCATTTAAAATTGCAGCAAAAACAATAAAATACCCAGGAATAAATTTAACCAAGGACGGGAATTCCCTGGCGGTCCAGTGGTTAGAACTCCACACTTTCACTGCTGAGGGTGCAGGTTCAATCCCTGGTCAGGGAACTAAGATCCCACAATACAGTAAAAACTATAAAACATTGTTGAGAGAAATGGAAGGCACAAAGAAATGGCAAGATATTTCATGCTCATAGACTGTAAGAATTAACATTGTTAAAATGTCTCTTTTACTTAAAGCAATCTGCAGATTCATTGCAGCAATCCCTGTCAAAATCCTAATGACATTTTTTGCAGAAATGGAACAAAAATTCCTTACATTTGTATGAAACCATGAAAGACTATGAATAGCCAAAGCAATTCTGAGAAAAAGGAACAAAGCTGGAGGTATCACATGCCCTGATTTCAAAATATTACTACAAAGCTATAATAATCAAAACAGCATGGTATTTGGCAGAAAAACAGACATACAGGTCAATGGAACAGAACTGAGAGCCCAGAAATAAACATCTGGACAATTAATTTACAACAAAGGTGCAAAAAACATACAATGGAGAAAGAACAGTCTCTTCAGTAAATGGTGTTGGGAAAACTGTACAGCACATGCAAAAGAATGAAAGTAGACTATTTTCTTATACCATACCCAAAAATTAACTGAAAAGTGGATTAAAGACTTGAATAGAAGACCTGAAACCATAAAACTCCTAGAAGAAAACAGGGAGTTCGGACTTTGACATGGGATTTGGCAATATGTTTTTGGATCTGTCTCCTCAGGCAAGGCAAACAAAAACAAAAATAAACAGGTGGTACTATATCAAGCTAAAAAGCTCCGCACAGCAAAGGAAACCATCAACAAAATGAAAAGACATGCTACTGACTGGGAGAAGATATTGTCAAATCATATTATCTGATAAGGGGTTAATATCCAAAATATATAAAGAACCCATACAACTCAACAACAACAAAAAACCTGATTTAAAAATGTGCAGATAACCTGAATAGATGTTTTTCCAGAAAAGATATACAAATGGTCATTGGGCATATAATGAAGATGTTCATCACTAGTGAAGATGAACATCATTAATTATTAGGGAAATGCAAATCAAAGCCACAATTAGACATTACCTCACACCTGTTAGAGTGACTGTTGTCAAAAAGAGAAGAAATAACGTGTGGGCGAGGATGTGGAGAAAATGGAACCCTTGTGCACTGTTGATGGGAATGGAAATGCAGCCACTGTGGGAAACAGTATGGATAGTCCTCAAAAAATTAAGAATAGAGTTACCATGGGATCAGCTATTCCACTTCTGGGTATTTATCCAAAGATAATGGAAACACTAACTCAGAAAGATATTTGCACCCACTACTGTATGGTGATGGATGGAAACTAAATTTTTGGTAGTAAGCATGGTGTAGTGTATACACAAGTTGAATCATAATGTTGTACAGATGAAACATAAACCAATGTTACCTCAAGAATAAAATAATCTCTCTTTTCTAAAAAACTAAAAATAAGACTAGTTGATCTTTAGTCCTCTTTCAGACCTAATATTCTCATTCTATGAAAAGCTGAATGCATTTCTCAAAGGTGAGCTTGTAGTAACCCTAACAATGACTTATCGGGAATCAGTCTTAGGGTCATTACCTGACCTCTTTATTTCTTTTATATTTATTTGGCTTCTGCTGGTGCCAAACCAGTGCTTTTTTATTGCTAAAGTGCACTTGATGCCGTAACATACCATCTTAGTATCAGCTGGAAATGTTCTTGGTTTAGTTTTGTATGACAGGTAGGGTATTTCTATTGGAGTGAAGGGTCTTGTTAAAATCACAAAGCTGGTAGCTTCTCTTCTTGTTACATTGGCTGGACTTATATATACAATATATGTGTTGATTTCAAATGTCTGTAAGATGTGGAAAACTTCTGTGAAAGAGATTCTCAATTTTAGGGTCACCAGCTTAATTGTAAGCATTATGGTAATATAAATATTCTTGCAAATATAAAGCTTACTTTGATAATGGAACTACTAGTGTTAAAAAGCTCTTTAAGCAGGCTTCCCTGGTGGCACAGTGGATAAGAATCTGCCTGCCAATGCAGGGGACACAGGTTTGATCCCTGGTTCGGGAAGATCCCACATGCCACAGAGCTACAAAGCCCCTGTGCCACAACTACTGAGCCTGCGCTCTAGAGCTTGCAAGCCACAACTACTGAGCCTCTGTGCCACAACTACTGAAGCCCGCGGCCTAGAGCCTGTGCTCTGCAACAAGAGAAGCCACCGCAATTAGAAGCCCACACCCTGCAACAAAGAGTAGCCCCCACTTGCCGCAGCTAGAGAAAGCCTGTGTGCAGCAACAAAAACCCAACACAGCCAAAAATAAATAAATAAAATAAGAATAAAAATAAATTTAAAAAAAAAGCTCTTTAAAAAAATGGTGGGGTTGGTGGGAGGGATAAATTGGGAGTTTGGGATTGACAGATAACTCATTACTATATTTAAAATAGATAACCAGCGAGAACCTACTGTATAGCACAGGGAACTCTGCTCAATATTCTGTAATAACCTAAATGGGAAAAGAATTTGAAAAAGGATAGATATATGTATATGTGTAACTGGATCACTTTGCTGTACACCTGAAACTAACACAACATTGTAAGTCAACTATAATCCAATGTAACATAAAAGTTTTTTTAAAATGGTGGGGCAAAGAAACTTACTGGTTTAAATAGGAATTTTCCATATGTGCAAGAAGTCTTGGGAAAACACCCCTTCTGCTTTAAACAACAGCAATGTCTTTATTTCTTTACAGACATTACAATGGCAAAATCAGCAAAGTTAATTCAGCAGCAGCTTGAAAAAGAAATGTAAGTAAGAATAAGTCCTATTGGTTAACTGTATCTCTTAACACTTAGGAAATATGTATATATTGCTTAAGGTCTTTGGTTTTGTATGGTTATCACAATTAGCCTGAAGATTGGTGTGAAATGTACTTGTTAAATAATTGACAACAGAATTAATGGAACTGTAAAAAGTATTAATGGAATGTTTATATTTAAAATTTTCGTGAAAGAAAATCTCAGGTTTATTGAGACTACAGCTCAATTTGTTTTCCCACTGTTTGTAGACCTAGTTTATAGTAGATATGAAAGGATTTAAAAACTTGAAAATTTGAAAGCTGTGGAAATTTTTGTTGACAGAACAAGAAAGGAACACTTCAGAAGAATATAAAAATCTATGATACTATTTTGTAGTGTGTTTTTTGTTTTCTAGCTATGTGGCGATATCATTTAGCTTGATTTTAGTGTTTAAAAGTTTGTGAATTGAGCTATAAGCTTTTGAATTTTAAGGAATCTAGCATGTCTCTGTGTTCTGCTGATTTGTAAGAGTTAGCTAACAGGTTGCTTACATAGGAGATACAATCAACATTATAATAGAGCAAGTTATGTTTTCTTATGCTGTTATGTAAGGATATTTTTAATAAAAGAATCTGATGAGGAAAAATTGTACAAATTCAACTTTTAGTAAATTTTTTCCAATTATCATTTACATTCTCCTTTGCTCATTTAATAAGCACCTATAATTTGTCTAACATATGCCATGACCTGCTCTAGGATGTGGCTATAAGAAGTGTGATGTTGTTCCTGTACTCAGGAGCTTAGAGTCTAGTAGAATATGGTTTGCTTCAGGGGTTGACAACCTCCTGCTGAGGGTCTGCCAACAAAGAGTGGTTTTGCATTTTTATAGGACAGGTAAAAAAAAGAAGAAAAGTAGAAAAATATGTGGCAGAGACTAAATATCACCCACAAGCCCAAAATATCTAATTTATGGCTCTTTACAGAAAAATTTTACCAGCCCTGGTCTGTCATTTTCTGTGGCTTTTTTTTTTCTCAATTGAGAATGATATATTCAATCCCATGTGCTTTAAACTTTTTAATAGATAATAGAAGAAAAGTTAGCCATTCAATTATATTTAACAAAGACATCATGCCTTCAAATTGAATATCAAAAGAAAATTTTAACCCTTTATTGAGGTATAATTGATATGTAAAAAGCTGTGCATATTTAATGTACACAACTCAATCTGGGGATAAGCATACACCTGTGAAACCATCATCACCATCCAGACCATAAAAATATCCATTTCTTCCCAGAGTTTCTTCCTACGTACTTTATTATTTGTGTGTGTATGTATTTCATGAGAACACTTGACATAAGATCTACCCTATTAGCAAATTTTAAGTGTACAGTGAATACTATGCTATATAGTAGATCTCTAGCACTTACTTATTTGCATAACTGAAACTTTATACCCTTTGACCATCATCTCTCCATTTCCCCCTGCCCCTCACCTTGGTGACCACCATTCTGCTCTTTGCTTCCATGTGTTTGACTGTTTTAGATTCCACATATAAATGTAATTAATCATAATTGTAGTTGTCTTACTCTGTTATTTTACTTAGCATAATGTTGTCTAGGTCCATCCATGTTGTCGCAAATGGCAGGAATTTCTTTTGCAGGGCTAAATAATATTCCATTGTATATATGTTCCACATTTTCTTTATCTGTTCATCCTTCGATGGACATTTAGGTTGCTTCCATATATTGGCTATTGTTAATAATGCTGCAGTGAACATGGAAGGCATATACCTCTCCGAGATCCTGATTTCAATTCCTTCGGATAATTACCCAGAAGTGGAATTGCTGATTCAAATGATAGTAGTTCTGTTTGTAATTTTTTGAGGAATCTCAGTGCTGTTTTCTGTAATAGCTGTACCAATTTACATACCCACCAACAATGTACCAAGGTTCCCTTTTCTCCATATCTTTACCAACACTATCTTTTTTTTTCTAATGTTAGTAATTCTGTCAGGTGTGAAGTGACATCTCATTGTGGTTTTGATTTGCATTTCCCTGATGAATAGTGATGTTTAGCATCTTTTCATGTACTTGTTGACTATTTGTATGTCCTCTATGTCTGTTCAGGTCTTCTGCCCATTTTTTAAATTGGATTATTTGGGTTTTTTGTTACTGGGTTATATGTTTTTGGACAGATCCAAAAACATATTGCCAAATCCCATATTTTGGATATTAATCCTTATCAGATATATGGTTTGCAAATATTTTCCCCCATTCCATAGGTTATCTTTTCATTTTGTTGATTCTTTCCTTTGCTGTGCACAAGCTTTTTAGTTTGATATAATCACACTTGTTTATGTTTGCTTTGTTATTTGCTTTTGGTCTCAAATCTTAAAACTAATTTCCACAACACCAATGTCAGTGAGCATTTTCTTCTTGGATTTTTATGGTTTCAGGTCTTATATTTAAGTCTTTAATCCATTTTGAGTTGATTTTGTGTATGGTATAATATACACAGTTTCATTCTTTTGCATGTAGATATCCAGTTTTCCCAGCACCGTTTATTGAAGAGACTATCCTTTTCCTATAGTATACTCCTGTCATCCTTGTCAAAGATTAGTTGACTGTATATGCGTGGGTTTGTGCTGGGCTCTCTGTTCTATTCCATTGATCTATGTCTTTTTATAGTACCATATTGTTTTGATTACTATAGGTTTGCAATATAATTTGAAATCTGGAAATGTGATGCCTCCAGATTTATTGCTCTTACTCAAGATTACTTTGAGTATTATAGTTCTTTTGTGGTTCCATATGAATTCTACCATTGTTTCTTCTATTTCTATGAAAAATTCCATTGGAATATTGATGGAGATTCCATTAAATTTATAGATGGAGGTTTTTTTGTTTGCATTGGGTCTTAGTTGTGGCACGTGGGATCTCCATTGCGGCATGTGGGATCTTTTGTTGCAGCCTGCGGGCTTCTCTCTAGTTGTGGCGCGCAGGCTCCAGAGAGTAGTTTGGGGAGAGTGGGCTCTGTAGTTTGCGGCACATGGGCTCAGTAGTTGTGGTGTGCGGGCTTAGTCGCCCCGCGGCATGTGGGATCTTAGTTCCCTAACCAGAGATCAAACCCACATCCCCTGCATTGGAAAGCGGATTCTTAACCACTGGACCACCAGGGAAGTCCCCTATAGATGGACATTTTAACAATGTAAATTATTCCAATATATGAACAAGGGGCATTTTTCCATTTATTTGTGTCTTCAGTTTCTTTCATCACTGTTTTATAGTTTTCAGTGTACAGATCTTTCACCTACTTTGTTAAATTTATGCCTAAGTATTTTAATGTTTTTGATGCTATTATAAATGGAATTGTTTGGTTAATTTCTTTTCCTGATAGTTCATTAGTAGTGCATAGAAACAGAACTTGTTTTTGTGTGTTGATTTTGTATCCTGCAATTTTACTGAGTCTATTAGTTCTGGTTTTGGGGAGGGTCTTTTATGGTTTTCTATATTTAAGATCAAGTGATCTGAAATCAGAGATAATTTTACTTCTTCCTTTCTGATTTTGATGCCTTTTGTTTCTTTTTTGCCTAATTGCTCTGTCTAGGACTTACAGTACTATGTTGAATAGAAGTGGCAAAAGTAGGCATCCTTATCTTGTTCCTGATCTTAGAGGAAAAGCTTTTAGCTTTCACCATTGAGTATGATGTTATCTGTGGGCTTGTCATATATGGCACTTGTTATTTTGAGGTACATACCTTCTGTAATTATTTTGTTGAGTTCTTATCATGAAAGGATGTTGAATTTTGTCATATGCTTTTTCTGATCTCTTGAGATGATGATAAGATTTTTATCCTTCATCCTGTTTCTATCCCATTTATTTAGGTTCTCTGATGTTAGGTGCATATATATATGTATATATACACAATTATTTTATCCTCTTGATGAATTGGCCCCTTTATTATTATATGATAACCTTCTTTGTCTCTTGTGACAATTTTTGACGTAGTCTATTTTGTTGATATTTATGTATTCAGCCCTACTCTCTTTTGTTTATCATTTGTATAGAATATGTTTTTCTGTCCCTTTACTTTGAACCTTAAATCAAGAGTGCATCTCTTGGAGATAGCATGTACTTCAAGTTTGTTTTTTTATCCATTCACCCACTCTGTTTTGATTGGTAATTTAAACCATTTACATTTAAAGTAATTATTAATAGGTAAGAACTTATTCTGTTTTGTTGATTGTTTTCTGACTTTCATAGTTCCTTTGTCTCCTCTCCTCCTTTTTAATTTGATGATTTCTTTTGTATTGTTATGCTTTGGCTTTTTTCTCTTTATTTTGTGTGTCTACTACAGGTATTTTCCTTGTGACCGTCATGGCTTATATAAAACATCTTATAGAGTTAAAAATGATTTATGTATCACCATTACAATACTAGAGTATTCTAACTTTTAGTATATTCTTACTGTTACAGTGAGTTTTATACTTTCATATGTTTTCATGTTCTTGATTAGTTTTATTTCACCTTGAAGAACTCCCTTTAACATTTCTTATAAAGCAGGACTAGTAGTGATGAACTGCAGCTTTTGTGTGTTTGGGAAAGCTTTTGTCTGTCCTTCATATCTGAAGGACAGTTTTGCTGGGTATAGTATTGTTGGATGGCAGTTTTTTTTCTTTCAGCATTTTGAATATATCATCCCACTCTCCACTGGCCTGCAAGGTTTCTGCTATGAAATCCACTTTTAGTCTTATGGATTTTCCCTTGTTTGTGACCTTTCTCTTAATGCTTTCAACATTCTGTCTTTGACTTTTGTCAGTTTGGTTATAATGTGTCTCATTAAAGCTCTCTTTATGTTTAATCCATTTGGGGTTTTAGGGGCTTAGTGGATCTGGATGTTCATTTCCCTCCCCAGATTTGGGAGTTTTCTATCATTATTTTTTTAAATAAGCTTTCTGATTCTTTGTCTTTATCTGCTCTTTCTGAGACTCCCATAATGCATATATT